GTGTGTGTGTGTGTGTGTGTGTGTGTGTGTGTGTGTGTGTGTGTGTGTGTGTGTGTGTGTGTTAGGCGGTCTTGTTATAATCCATCCTCAAACATGCCAAAGGAACTCTAGACTCCTAGGGTAGACTTCACGCCTTAGCAAACACAGCTATTTAAAACATGCACTGTTGGCAATAATCTGCTAGTTGGCTTCCTGAGATTCTTATTTGAACTCGATTTTTGGAGTTACAGGAGCCGGATTCACCTCTCAAATCCAGGATGTAAATATTTGCTTTAAAAGTCTAACTGTGTCCTTTATGAAAACACCCATCAATTGTGTTGTCAAAAATCTTATGTAAATTGTATGTACAAAAGTAATGGGCCCTGAGAATCGGTTTAACTCACAAGGTTGAGCAGACATGTACTGTAAGGCTAATAAAGCCTAAAAATGCTCCAAATTTGCTTAAAAAATAATGCTCTGCTGAGCTCCAAACACCCTCTGGCATTAACATCTACAGAAAAACTGCACAAGGAACTTCATTGCATGGTTTCCAGTAGTTCCTGTAGGTGTAATGTGTTAGTGACCCAGTAGTTTTGTCCATACAGTGTATATTTAAAGAAAAGTGTGCATGCTCTAATGATTAAAATGTAGCTGCAATGTATAAATAAAGCGATACTGTCCATAAATGTACATTCTTAATAAACTCTCTTAAATCTAACCAGCTTTTTCACCCACAGCAGTGACTCATGCATTGTGTGGTTGCTTCACAGGAGAAATATGGGAATATTTCAGAACGGCTACTTTTGAGGGAGAAGCTGAAATGCAACAGCTTTGAGTGGTATCTGAAGAACATCTATCCTGAACTACATGTACCCGAGGACAGGGAGGGCTGGCACGGGGCTGTAAGTGTCTCCTTTTCAGATGCTGTGTCTGAATTCTGTTATTGATCCTGTTAGTGCAAGATTAATTATTTAGTTTTTGGACTGATGGCAGATCTTGTTGTGATTTATAAAAGACAGCAATGCGGCTGTGTCTTCATTCATCATTCAAGTGTGAAACAAAAGTATTCGGGTGAGACGTGATATGAGAAAACTCCGTTGAAAGTGGGAAGGCTTTGAAATCCATTTGACTGGGCTCAAGACCTTTCTAATTCAGACATCTGGTGAAGTCTCCTGTTATAAAATGCTTTACAGAAAAATTGCTCTTGGCTCAGTGTTGGATTTTAAAACAATTACATTTTAGCCACAGCAATGTCTCTGTTTTTTTCTGAAGCGAAAAAGAAAATTCCCTCAAAGATTTCTTCTTTAGTTATAATGTCCAAAAATCCACCACCTGTCCACGTCGACACACATTTCCCAGTGACAGCTGTGAAGTCAAATGCTACAGCGAGGGCATCGTCCAAAATCTCAAATGTTCTGCTGTCAGGACTGTCTAAAATTTGCATGCACACCCACACTACAGGTACACGGTGACAAAACCTGAAAGAACGGCATTATTCAGACAAAGAAAAATTTACATTTTCTTATGAAACTGGGCGAAAGTAAGTTTTATTTCATAATGATTAATATATGTGTACTGATGTGGAAAATAAGCAATTCAATGGTTCAATTTGTTTTCGCTTCCTGGTGATATACCGTCATTTAATGATTTAATCAGATGACTGAATCCACCATCTTCAGGGCTGTTGCATCCTACGTGGCCTTAAAGTCTAACCTGCCAGCAAAGAATAAATCCAAGAAAATAAGAGTCCTCACAGGAATCGATATACAGTGCCGCATTTCACTTGTTATTAATATTTACTGCTCTCTTCCTGCCAGGTGCGTAGCTCAGGAATACATTCAGAGTGCCTTGACTACAACGCTCCAGAGCACAGTCCCACAGGTTCCCAGATTTCTCTTTTCGGCTGCCACGGCCAAGGAGGCAACCAGGTACGTCAGGCATTTCAGTGTTTATTCTTTCTTGACACAATCCCACAGCTTCTCGTGGCCCCCGTGGGAGATATATCTTGAAATGTCAAGACTTTCTGCTAACCCCTAAAACAAGCTGCCACAGTTGATTCACACCAGAAAATTACTCTCTGCTGGTGTGTCCAACATGACTTGAATGTAATGAATGGAAAACTGAATGTGGTATTGCATCCACACATAGCTGGAAAAAAAGGTGCACATGAATCACAGGTGCTTTTTTTTTTTTTTTTTTCCAATTCCAGTAACGGCTGGTTTAGAAAGCACCAGATTATTTATCTGCGAGGATGTATATTTAATGTTGGAGTCAGACAATAGGCAGAACTTCTTTCTGTGGATCTTCAACCTGGCTGTTATCTCTGATTACCCCATTGATGCACCGCATCAGGTGTCCTCAGTCACAAAAAGCGCCATGTGTGACTGAAAATCAATGTTTGAATGGCTTCTCAGTGAAACAAAAACCTGAGGGCCCTTCACCACCTCCCTCCTGCCCCTTTCCCTGGCCCACATAAGAACCACGTTCCATTTAAAAGATACATGAGCCTCATGGGCAGAATGAATGGCATAGCCTGGATAAATAAGTTTGAAGCCAGAGACAGTGGACCCCGAGTAAGTCTTTTATTAGAAACGACCATAACGGGGCCCCAGTGCAACTGAAAGATGTATGAGATGTGAAGAAAAGGATGGGGAAGTATAAAGATTGATTACCTGACCCTCCGCTTAACGGGTAGCACAGGGAGCATTGCATCTTTTGTCCCACTGGACCAGGTTGTTGAAATGACACCAGAGGGGAAGAGTCGGGTTTGTGCTCATGTCTGCTTGATTGAAAGGGCCAAGTCTTTGCTCATGAGATCCCTCGACACACTCGCCGATGCATCATATAGTGCATTTATAGCCGTGGCGCAACAGCAGAGTAAAACATCCTGTAATCCTAGTGGGTAAGAAAAAAAATACCAAACTGCACTAATTGGCTTTCTAAACAAAAGACAGATGTAGCTGAAGAAAGAAGAAGGAAAAGTTTTAATCTCTTAGTCTCTGCTTCTTTTCAGAGAAATGTGTGAATACAAGCTTGTGTCAAAGAAATACATTTTAACTGTAAATGGAGAAAAAATGGCCAAATAACTGTCTCTTTCTCTCTCCAGTACTTTGAATACACATCTCAAAAGGAGATCCGTTTCAACTCTGTGACAGAGCTGTGTGCCGAAGTACTGGAAGGACAGACCTCCATCGGAATGAGGCACTGCCCTCGTGATGAGGAAGTCAGACCTCCCAGTCTCATCTGGGAGTTCAAAGAGGTAAGGGATTCATGAATGTGTGTGCCACAGGTTCACATTTTCCTGTAAACTGACTCCACGCTTTCAACTTCCAACCTTTCAGGACAGGACCATCTATCATCCACACTCAGACATGTGCGTGACAGCCTACCGCACAACGACGGGCCGCACGGATGCCCAGATGAGGCGCTGCGTCCCAGGGGACAAAACCCAGCAGTGGAAGTTTGAGTGGTAGTGGGAGGAAGCTAGATAGTAGCAGGGAACCTTAAGTGGCCTTCCGTGACCACAGTGCAAATACTGTAGCGGAGGTATGACCCCCGCTGCTCCCATTTCTGTTACTTTTCAAGTCTGCACTGAATGGAAATGGGGGGGAAAAAAAGAAAAAAAAGAGGTGTTGGAGAAAGTCACTTTAAGCCAATGACTCACCCAGTCCAGTGCTTTTAAACCTTTGTGAATACCTACAGAGGTGAGGTCTTTTTTTAAAGAACACCAGCTGAATTTAAGACTTTTTTTGTTGTTGTTGTTTTCATCCAAGTGCCTCTACAGCCAGAGTGGAGTACACAGCACACCTGAAGTGTCATTGCCGTCTCGGGGTTTTGCAACAACTTGAAAGCAGCGAGATGTGTAGCACACGAAGCAGTGCCTTCAAAGAGATTAAAGCCAGTTTCTTGATCGGAAACATGATCGGAAAATCACCATGCACTATAGAATAATGCCTTAAAGTGCAATTAATATTGATTACTTTTATTATGTCCTCATATTTGTTTTTAAAAAAATTGTGAAAAAACAGGCTGCTGGAAAACGATGGATTAGGAATGTAAGGTCGGCAGCATTTTGCCCCAAACCCGCTGCTTCCTAACGTGCTCCATCATGTGAGAGGAAGGAGCTGTGGTCATACTAGACTGCCTCTCAATTCTAGCTTTTGTCTATGGAGCTAGTTTCGTGGTAGAATCCCTTCTGAATGAGATTGGAAGTATTTATTAAAGTGTATTTTGCCTCAGATGGTTTATCAAGTTGACACGGATGTTGTGATCTATTCTCCCCTGTTGTGTTAAATTAAGAATACCCTCTAAACCCATCTGTCACTTTGCTTTTGAGAACCTGTCATCCCTCACAAACCCGTGCGTGCCGAAATGAAATGTGCCAGTGCCAGCGTATTTATTTAGAGCTTTTTCAATTCTATAAAACTACAAACAACACTCACTAGAGCCTGTTTTTTGTTTAGTCACAAGAATCCTTAAAGGGAGCAGCTCTGTGCCAGTTTTCTTAAGAGTCTTGTGTGTAAGCTGTACTTGAAACTACATCAAAAACACTCCTGTTAGGCTTTCTTTTCTTCTTTTTTTCCACTCAAGACCACATTAGTGTTTCTACTGGGATCAAAGGACCAAGAGATTCAGTGAAACTGTTGGTAAAATGACTGGTGAATAGCATTTTTTTGCTATTCATTCCCACTGAATTACATTTGGTCTCAATGGCAATTTGAATTTATGAATATGTGATATTCAAACAAGTTGATAAATTGTGAGATGACTCCTTTTGTGTGTTAGCTTTGTAAATAATGCTTGGTTAAAGGGACCAGTAAAAACTACTGATGAGGCAAAAGGGAAGTTGATTACTTGATATGAAGAAGAGGTTGGACTGTTGCGGATGGGGAAGGATTTTTCTAAATAAAATGACTGCTGGGATGATTGAAAGAATAAAAGACTAACCACAAACACACATGCCTTTTGTTTTACTCGCCTGCACAAACAGCGCATTGCACAGTTAAACTGTCAGGAATGAGGAAGAAGTTTTTTCGTTATATGAAATGCCAGGTGTAGCAAAAGGAGAAAAGTGTGAGCTGCTGCAGCTATACTAGGTGTGAATGTGTACTTTTGATTTTTGTTGTTGTTGTCATGGTATAAGCGACAACATGCATTTCACATTTGAACAACCAAAGACTGAAAAGCTGCTACTGCAATCTGCTGCCTGTAATCCACACAGCTCACCCCTGCACTCACGGACTGCAGCATTCATAATAATTTGGCACCACCTACTGGTAGCAAATCAGTACTGACCGCTAATGGCAGGCGACAGAGAAGGATCTTGATTGCCGACTGTGGAAACAAAACCAAAATGATATTAAATGTTCTGGTGCAAATCTCCTTTTCTTTTCCCCCCCCCCCCCCCTCCCTGTCTCTGGGCTCACAAATGTACACAAGCAACAATATGTGGTTTGCTCTCTCCGTTCTCATGTTTCAGTAAATCTAGAAATATTATGTGAGAATGTCATCTTTCATAGTTTGGGTGATACAATATTCATTGGTTACCTGGGTTGTTTTAGTGGTTTTCAGATATTTTCTACCATGCCCTAATTCAGAATAGAGAAAAAGTCGATGCCTACACCCAATATTTTCTATTAGTTATTAATAGAAACTGATCCAGGTTGAATTTTATCAAAGGAAAGGCCAGCAAGATGCCATCGGCAAACTTTGTTGTTCTATTTTTTTTCTATAAAAATCTTATTCACTCAGCCAGGTTTGCCTCCTGGAGTGACTTTTTGCCCCACAGCATAGAACCACTGCATTATATTTTCACTAAAAAAAAATCTATTGGTACTGTATGTATGTTTTATCTAATTGCCGAGTGCTGTTGCAAAATGCTGGGTGAGACAGAGGGAGCAGAACAATTTAAAAAGGAGGTAGGAAACACACGACAGCTGAAATGTTCAGCATCACTTAAAAGTCCCTGTTTTTGAAAGAAAAGCACGTTTGTTTTAATATTATATAAAACTGATCAGGAATTACAATTATTCATAGAATAATTAATCACTAATTAGTTAGTGGGGTTAGATTAATTGGTCATTCTAAATTGCCATACTTGTGAAAGTGGGTGTGAAACCTGTGACAGACTGGCACCCTGTCCAGGGTGTACCCTGCCTCTCGCCCTATGGTAGCTGAAGTAGGTTCCAGTCTCCCCGTGACCCTGAAAAGGATAAGCGAAAGAGAATGGATGGTTCGAACATTAATCATAAGTTATTTTGAATTGGATATCTACATAGGTATGCAGAGGACAGCTTTGGTAAGCATCTGCATTGGTGTATGGAGGGTTTTTGATGTTTAGAGGCTGAATGATGACAATGGCCCAACAGATCTTATAATTATAGATGTAATAAATTTGGATATTCAAGATGATGTATCACTAATATATCCTTGGACCTTCTTACTTAAGAAAAAAACCTTTCCAAAGTACACTTATTCTAAGTATGTGGTATAAAAAAGCTAACAAAATAACAGAATACTCTTTTAAGGTAACACAATATACACAATAAAGCTATAGGATACAACAAAGATAGGCAACTTTTAGTTCAGTGACAGCTGGGTGCTGTGTTTTCTTTTCTTTTAAAAATGCATTAGTCATTAGAAAACTCAGTCATGGTTCCTATGTTGTTTTTTCATCCACAGGTCCACGGGCATTTGTGTCACTTGGCTTTCATGACAAGATGTGTCGTGAAAGGCTGACAAGGGTGTGTTTCAACTGAACAGATCTTGCATGATAAAACCCCTGTAACTGGAACAATATGCAGTCTTGTTTTCATGTGGTTGTTCCTATTGTATTCTAATGTACTGAATAAAACAAGCCCAGTTACTCCTACGCTTTAATGACTGATACATTCGCAAGATACACCCAACTATAATTTTATGAATAGTGTAATAATTAATAAGATAAGATAAGATAAGATAACCTTTATTAGTCCCACACGTGGGAAATTTGTTTTGTCACAGCAGGAAGTGGACAGTGCAAAAGTTATGAGGCAAAAATTAGGATACAATAAGAATAAATACAGTACACAGCTGTACAGGATAGAATAAATAAAATACTATATACAGTGGAATAAAATAAAATAAATATACAATAAGATAAAAATAGAATACAAATACAAATGCTATATACAACTGAGTAAAAATACAACGATGACAGAAAGGATTATTGCACTTAGTATTATTGCATATGTGTGGATGTGTGTGTTTGATCAGTTAAAGTTTTTATTATGGAGTCTGACAGCAGTGGGGAGGAAAGACCTGCGAAATCTCTCCGTCCCACACCGTGGGTGCCGCATTCTCCCACTGAAGGAGCTGCTCAGTGCTGTCACAGTCTGCTGCATGGGGTGGGATGATCTGTCACAGACCTGAAAACAAGGTGTGACCACAAAAAGTGCCGATGAAATGACAAACTTTATTCAGTAAATTCATATTTTAAAATGTGGGATCATTAAAAGTAGCCTAGGGGGGAGAGGAAGCCCGGATCCACACCAGTCCTATAGGAACACACCATGCTAAAAAAGATGCCTCCCATGATATCACATGGGGTGGCTGTAGCTCGGAAAGGTTGGTAGTTTGATTCCTCCGGTCTTAAGTATCCTTGAATGAGATACTGAATCCCAACATTTTGTTCTCAGATGTGTTCACTGGAGTATGAATGTGTGGGAATGTTAGAAAGCAAAAAAAGTGCTTGGTTGAAGTTGTATAAAATGCTACGAGTGTCAAGGAGAGTTGGAAAGTGCTATCTCAGAATGATGCCATTCAACATCACTGCAAAATTTAAAAAGTAGAAATGTATATACTGCTACACATAGTGAAGGCCCAAGTTTCCCCGATTTCTCTCCTGCCCCCTCCCTAGTAAAACACAAATATACTGATTAAATATAGCCTAGGCTCACTGGGTGATCAACAATACAGTCAAGTTGGACCAGTTATGGTGAGGTCAGAGCTAATCCCAGTCACGTTACAGGAACCTCTGTTCAAGTCAGCCCAAACCCCAAAGGTGCAACTAATAAGTGTTTTAATTTCCTTTTTAATATTTGCACCTATTACAGTAGGCTATCTATTGCATGGAAAATGTTATCCATCATCTCGTCCTAAATGAGAACGCCCTCATTCATGCACTCACATGAATGTTGAGTCTCTGACAGACACGACAAGGGCAGTCTACCGTGGTATATTACAACACTCCGGCTGACTTGTTACCTTCCCGTGTCTCTTTGTGGTTTTCACAATATGGGTACTCGATCAAACAGTGCGCCACTCAAATTACCTTCTCGCCTCGAAAGATCGCCTTAATTATTTAGCATTTTAATTTGCTTAAACATACATTTTGTGTCAGATTTCATCTTTCGTGTCAAGAGTTTTCATATCGGTTTCATATGAGTGACAAGGGGCCTCGTATGAATGAGAACCTATAAAAAGATCACTTGGATATAGAAATAAAATGACTGCTTATCATAAACTTCATTTTTTCAGGCTTTCAAATTAAAAGCCTACAAACTATTGCAACGCTTTGTGACATAATATAAAGCAGTGGTGCCCAACAAACTCGAAAACTGAGAAATTACCAGAACCAATCTTTGATGATTAAAAAAATCGAAAGCGGAAGTGACTTATTTTACTTGTGTACCCCTGGCAGTCATTTTGAAGTCTTCGAACAAAAAAAATTAAAAATTAAAAATAAAAAATAAAAAATAAATAAAAAATAAAAATAATATATGTGCAGTATTTTACGTGGCGTTATTCCGGGGTAGTTTGAAAGGGAACGGAGTTTTAATTTGATAACCGGAAACTAGTTGCTAATTCTGCTACTAAAAGTTGATTTGAACTTCTACTGCTGTTCACGTAAATGTCGTTAATCCCGGTTCCTCGATGGCACTTGATGAACCGGTTGGACACAAACTATATTCATAAAGACTTGACTGAGAACGAAAAAAAAATCTTTTTAATTATAATATTTGATTTTCTCAGTGAGTGAACTGAAAGAAACAGCATACGAGGCTTTTGATTTGACCTAGTTTTCCTTTCCTCCAGCAGTTAGGTGGCTCACTAATCCGAACAGATACTTGTTAGCTAATCTAATCTGAGTTAGTTAATCCTTTCCCTCTTCACTCCAGCAGCAGGCAGGGTAACGGAATTGAGGAGGAGTGACCACCGTTCTCCGTTTGACTGAGAAGACTCACCCAGTTTGGGGACTCTGTACGTAGATAGAGTTACACTTTGCCTGAACTATGGAGGAGAAACTTGGAAGTAGTCAAACGGAAAGGTGACGCGGCTGTGGAGTCTAGCAAAACCAACTTGGACAGCAAAGGTTGAGCACAGTGCAGCTCATCGGGGCATGAGAGCCTCCAACTTTGCGCCTTGCAAAGAAACGAAACGATGGCTGCATACGGAAGGAGGAAACGGCCCAAGTTACTTATTTTAATAGTTGGTGCCATTTTGCTGGGATATGTTACATTTTTCAAACGCAAGTCGGGGGAAGTGAGCTTGACGAACCGACGGGAAGTCACAGGAGAGGAAGAGTATGAGCTCCTTAAGAAGCCAGTCTACGAGAAGCCCCCCTTGGATTTAAACGCTCTGGGAGAACTGGGCAGAGCCGTGAAACTGAATCTGAACGAAGAGGAGAAAAGAAAAGAAGAGGAAAGTATCAAAGCGCACCAGATTAACACTTATGTCAGTGATAAAATATCACTGCACCGCAGGCTGCCAGAGAGATGGAACCCACTGTAAGTAACCTGTTGTCTATTGTTAGCAATGTTAAAGCCCAGATCTAAAGTTTAAAAGAAGCCTTTGCAGTTTGGATGCCCCACGGCTAAGTAAATACCTCAGAGGACGTGTAACTCGTAAACTGAGTCATCTGCTGTTAAGATGGAATAATAAATGCACTGTGTTTACTTCTATTGGTCATCAAATCTTAAAAGTATGAAGGTTAACCACGATCCAGCTTTACATGCAAATTTACACAGCCAGCTCTCATTGTGCAGTGTCATTCCAGCCACCCAGCCTCACCTCCAATTTTTTTAGTCTACATTCTAACAACCAAGTCTCCTCTCTCTCCAGCTGCAAAGAGCTGAAGTATGACTACAGGTCCTTGCCCACGACCTCTGTGGTGATTGCTTTCTACAACGAGGCCTGGTCCACCCTGCTGAGGACTGTTCACAGTGTGCTGGAGACGTCTCCTGACATCCTGCTGAAAGAGGTGGTGCTGGTGGATGACTACAGTGAGAAAGGTAGAGGCACAGACAGACTGATGGACAGGCAGTGGGCAAGAATGGTGGCAGGCTGACAGTCAGGAGCTGTTACAGGTGCACACAGACAGGTAGCAGTTAGATGGGTGGAGGAGGATATACTGACATGTTATCAGTTAGGCAAGTCAAACAGAGATACTGGAAAATATGCTCATCGAATTATAAAAAAATACTGGATGCAAATTTTTGTGCTTTGATTTTTAGTTTAATCCACAACTCTATAGCCTCAGTCATCATAATGTAAGTAGTTCAACTTGGAGGCGGAGTCTGTCCCACTACACAAAGCGTTGCTCCAACCACCAATAAAACTTTCGCTGGCAAAAAGCCGGTGGAAATCCTTAATCAAACCTGTTCAACAGGCTTCAGCTTAAAAAAATACATCTGTAAACCAAAGAAAACAAAAACAAACTAAACCCTTTCATTGTGTTCACGTGCTGTATTAAACTCACATTGTATTTGAAGAAAACATTTTGTCTAATGCAAAAATAAATGAAAAGGTATGCATGCAAAAACCTTCAATCTGGGTTGGTCTTTACTCCGTCTTTCCAACAAGACAGAGTAAAGACTGATTTCTGCCTTAGTTTAGCTTAGGTGACATGTAAACCTTTTATTTATTTACATTTTGATATTTGTGATTATTTATTTTTGCACTAATGAATATGTTTTCTTTAGCAAATATGACTTAAATATGCCGCATAAACACGATGAAAGTGTTCTGACAGATGTTGTATCCAATTAAATTATTAAAAATATTGGTTTCCATTTGTAATAATATCAATGAGCAAATAAGCAAGTAGTAAGTAATTATTATTGCTCATTAGTAAGACAAAAAGTGTTTCTCATCAATCAGTGGGTTAATCAGCAGAATACTTGATTACTAAAACAATCAGTAGTTTTAGTTATAAACTAAGATATAGATCAAGTGAAATCTCCTGCATCAGTGTTATATTTTTTACATCTTCTATGAGTATATTCAAATAAACCTATAATAAAAGTAAATAATATACTATATGCAGTGTTTATTCCTGTTGGGGTTTTTGTTTTGTACGAGTTGAGAAACTTTGAATGCTTCTAAAGTGTTTTCGATCATGAATGTATAAATGAAGCAATGCCTACCTCTCCCTCAACACTAACATCTGCTCGTGGTTATATTTACTTACTAAGTGTTGAGCTTGAGTAAATCAAACAATGATGTAACTTTCGCCTTTTGGATTAATGCGTATTTGGCTGAGAGCATAAAAGGAAGTAATTTTATCCTAAGAAGACTGGTGGGTGTGTCTTGTTTACCTGCTTCAAAGAAAGCTCACCATTTTCTAGTGAATATGGCAAATGTGTATCAAACAGTTTTACTCTCTTTCCTCTAGAGGTGGGAATTCGGAGCCTCTTCCAAATGCATTGGAAATGTGTGCCAGATAGCTTATCACCTTCTTTTATCAATGCTGACTTGTTTTTCTAACAGTCTCACGTTGCGCTGTGACGCTTCTGACACCTGAGCCACATGCCAGCTTTGTCCCCTCTCAGATTTTACAATGTGATTGGACTCAGAGATAACAAAATGACTGTCTGTCTGTGCTTGCTTTTTATCCCCTCACATGGAATACTGATCAAGAAACGCTAAAAAATTTCCCTTATGGGAAGAAACTTCCAGCTGTAGCTGATAGATTTTTCTCTAGTTTTGTATTTGTTGTGATTTTGAGAAACAACTCTTGATACAAACACATAAAAAAAAAACCAACCTGATTGTTTATTTTGGTTTATCTGCTCATCTGTTTATTTTCTGAAAGCTCATCTCAAGGAGCCACTGGACAAGTACGTCTCAGGTTTGAATAAGGTGCGTCTGATCCGGGCCACAAAGAGGGAGGGGCTGGTGCGGGCCCGGTTGCTCGGGGCATCCATCACCACAGGCGAGGTTCTGACCTTCCTGGATTGTCATTGCGAGTGTCACGACGGCTGGTTAGAGCCCGTGCTCCACAGGTGAGAGAGTGCCCGCCAGGGAAAAAAAGAAATGCCTTCTCTCCTTGATTATTTTGTCAAAGTGCGGCCTTTAGAAAGGCTGTCTTTTAGTCCAGCTGTCACAGAGTGTGAAGCTCTGAATCTCTATCAGCCAGCTGCAGGAGCACTGTTATGTAGCCGTGTCTGACTCACTGTCTCGGTGCTCCAGCCTTTCAAACAAGGGCAGCACCAACGTTTGTATGGAGACTTTTCTAGATAAACAAATTGCTTGCTTTGTAACACTGCTCCCTCCTGACATTCGCCTTTTTCTCCTTTCCTTTTTTCTCGCCAAGGATCAAAGAGGAGCCGGAGGCCGTGGTGTGCCCCGTCATCGACGTGATAGACTGGAACACCTTCCAGTATTTAGGCCATGCTGGGGAACCTCAAATCGGAGGGTTTGATTGGCGGTTGGTCTTTACCTGGCACACCATCCCCGACTACGAACAGAAACGCCGACGTTCACCCGTAGATGTCATCAGGTGTGTTTTAAGGACTCTTTATTACCCAAGAATAGAAAAAAAATCCCATATGAGTATTTGGGAATGTAACTTTGAGTGTGGCAGCTACATTATTACAGAAACTGCACTGCTGACATATCATACTTTTTTCTTCATACTGAGATAATTACATCTGTCTCATATAAGATGGAGCTCGTTATCCTGTAATATAATTTTTTATTTTTTGGTGTCTTGAGGTCTCCTACTATGGCAGGTGGTCTGTTTGCTGTGAGGAAGGACTTCTTCCATTATTTGGGAACATATGACACAGGAATGGAGGTGTGGGGAGGAGAGAACCTGGAATTCTCTTTCAGGGTAAGAGCTGTGTGTTTTCATGGACATATACAGTATTATTTATGTAATGATAACATAGGTAAAGCACATGTTATGTCCAAATTGACATTAAGTTTGCACTCCTTTTGGGATTATGGCCCAATTCATAGTGCAAGCCACTAAAAAAGGCAGGAGTGTCTGCTTTAGATTTGTTGAACCATATGACAGCTGCTCAATTTATGTGGAATCTGCAATGAAAATAAAACTAAACATGGAGTGAAAGCAGGCCGAAGAGCTTAATACTTTAATTGCAGCAAAGAATTTAAACATCCCTTCCCTACAATAACTGTAATTTTCCAAAGGGAAGAAACCAAAAATATTTTCCAACAACAGGCTAGCTTTTCTGTTCCCAAGCTCCTCCGCAACAAGACTGTGCTTTGTTTCCTGATTGAATCATGGCTGAGAGGCTAACCAAATCCTCGTGGTGGTGTTATTGATGTGTCTTAGATTTGGCAGTGTGGGGGCAGCCTGGAGGTCCACCCGTGCTCCCACGTGGGTCACGTCTTCCCGAAAAAGGCACCTTACTCACGGAGCAAAGCGTTGGCAAACAGCGTGAGAGCAGCTGAGGTCTGGCTGGATGAATACAAGGAGATCTACTATCATCGTAATCCCCACGCACGCCTGGTGAGTGTGTGCAGATGATGTGAATGTGAAGGCAGAATATTTCTTTCTTTCTCTTTTTAAATGGCTGCATTCACCACAGCACTGTCTCATTAACCCCTTCATTTCACCAGTGAACTCACTCTCGGTATGCGAAAAAAATATCAGAAATACTCTGCCTTCTCCCAAAACGCGCTCGCACACACGCACGCTGCAAAAGCTCACCTGATTAAGTGACACGGGGGATATATGAGCAGCAGACACCCAAGGTGACAGGGGTCAGGGCATTCCGGTGTGCGATTACCACCTTTCTGTGCTACTTGGTGCCAGCGGGTGTCACCCACATGTCCTTGACACGGTGAGAGCAGTGCCGACCCATGGGGGTGCCCTGATTTTGTGTGTGTGTGCATGAGTGATAGTGTAGTTAACAGGAAATGCTCTCTAAGCACAGATCAGGTAGCACTTATCTCCATGAGATAAGGTAGCCTTGCCAAAAAATTCATCATACCCTCCAAACAAACACTGTTTTTGCTCATCCTGTTTGATTCACAGCTGAACATGTGTTTATACACAATAACAATACTAGATAAGGTTTATATCTATAAACGAACATATCTTACAAGGAAGTTACAATTTTACAATTTTGCTCGGCACAAAGTTATACTAGTCTCCTGGATGAATGTACTGTGCCTGTTTATAGTCTGTAGTCTGTCTTTGCCCATTAATGTCATAGCTTACCCAGGGGTGTGTGTATGACTGCTTTGATTTTAAAATATTAATACAATTTAATTAATATATCAATATATAAATCAATAATTTAACATATAAATATTAATATGATATTTATATTCTTTTTAAATCTGAAAAAGCCTTCAGCAACCTGCGTAATTTTAACGTCATATCAGATGAAGTTAACAGTTTATCTGCATATTTAATTTTAGCTTCTGTAGCTTAACTGTAGATTTTTGCTAACTAAAACAAGCAGGAGTGTATGGGAGCAGCTACAAAGTTCTCTTCTCACACTGGAGCTTGTTGAATGTTTTTAACGGAATTCTTGTAAAGGTTTTTCTGGTGATTACAGAAATGAGCTCGAATCATTGCAGCCCTGCTTTGTAGATTTTGAACAAAATAATCTTAGACTAACAAATTCATGGTTTCTTTTTTTTTTTTTTTCTTAAACGTGCCTTTCCCCTGACATTCTGACAGCCTGTGACACTTTCACTCCGACACTCCCAGACAAAGCAAGAAATCCCCAAATCAAACCAAAAAAAAAAGAAAAAACAGTCAGCAGGCACTGAGATCTGGAAGTCTTTTAGGATTTGTAGAAGGGCAGGTCCATGTGGCTGTCAACATGGGTTACGTGCCAGTCCATGTGAGCTATTTTTATAGCTTGTTAATTAGTAACAAGGCACCATAAAACCTAAATAATCTACATATGAAATGGTGCAGGGTGAAGGAATGACTGAGAACTGTACTCAACTGAAGGGGCACTCTTTATTAACACTGGATGATTGAGGGGAAAATCCGGGTACTGCAATCGTAATTAAGATATGAATTGATGTCGTTAAATTTTGGTTTAAGTTATGAGCTTCCTAGAGATCAGTTGCAAACAACGACAGGTCTAGAGACGCATATTTTTCACAAAAAAAGAGCAAATATATCCTAAATATAACTAAAAAATATAAATATGAGAAATTGCAGCAAAACAATTGTTGCAGCAAAAGCCAGAAAGGACAGCTGGCAAAAAAAAAGGAAAATGCAGACTGAAAGTTAATAGGCTTTTTAATCACTGCCTCATTAATAAGGCATGGATATGCTGACTGTAATTATAGTTGTGTATTCTGCAAACTATATGTGTCGCTTAGCTGTATTTTAATAACATGTACAACAAATTTAGCCCTAATCTTTCAGCTTCAACTCTCCTATGAGGTCAGCAAGTAATCTACCAGGATTTAACACTGTTTGTTTTAGGATTTACTGTATTTTGCTATACAGAGGCCTAGCAAACAATGGATTGTCTTTGAAATTGCTTCGTCCTAACAGGATAGAAAAGACTCAAGGAATTAAGTTCCCGACACTGAACATTTGTAATCCTCATTGATGTTCGCAGAGAAATCCAGAGGGCCATCTTCCTATAGATGCACCAAGCTTCACAGGATCTTCTAGGAAAGCTGATGCTATTTTTTTTTTTTTAAAGAGAGTATACTGGTTACTAGGCAGTGAGCTCTGGAAGTCATACCTTAGGCTACAAAGTTGCTGTAGGAGTTGCCTTTAAAAGTTGGCTAACTTGCTTTGTAGTACAGCCCTCTGGAATCATTAGCTCTTGTTTTCCACCGCTGTTTCACTAATTGGCACCTCTGTGCTCTCGGTTCCTAGTTGCTCCCTTAGGTCGTTTCCTGTGACCGTTTATTCATCCATATAGGTTGGACTGTCACTGGGCTGGTTGCCCTTACCTTTGCATTTTATCAGGACCTTTACTGATCCTTAATTTAAGTCTTATTATCCTGGTAAGTGTCCTGGACTAGTCCTCATTGTTCTGATAGTCCATGCTGGTCCTAGCCATTGACAAAGCACTGCGTCCTTTGGGAATCTTTCTTCTTACTAAATAGACTGATGAATAGCCAATTAGAGCTGTGTTTGGGCAGGCCACCATCATCCATCATCCTGCAGTGCTGCTGAATCTTTCTTGCAGCAGGGAAGGTGTGGTGAGCATATGCTCACTGGCACATTAAAGTGGAGACTGTGTTCTTTCTCATAATCTAATTAACTAGTCTTTATCAGCGTGATGTGTACATGTGTAACTTTGTATGCATAAAAGTGTTTACACAGGCACGAACTGTTTGCGCACACACACGGAGACTCTTGTAAAATTGACACATGTATCCTGTTTGACTGTTGGAAGTTCTGTTTGTTTGAGGGGGAGCTATTGTTTGGAGTGAACTGCATTTGTATAGAGTAATGGACCATAGATGGTGCTATTGTATTCCATTTCAGGCCACTGGTATATTATGAATACTTCATCGGACACAACAGCTGTCTGATGGTGGCTGCATCGACAGCGCTCTCACTTAAAATTTTCATTTGAATATGAGATATCACTGATAATTCATTTTTATTTTAATTTTTTTATAAATGCAGAGCAATTCTGTGCTTCTTAATTTAATTTTAGCTTGCCAAGGCAGAAAAGTGAAAATAAAATAATCATGTTGAACTGTCATTTGCCATGTTTGTCTCCAGGAGGCCTTTGGAGATGTAACGGAGCGGAGGATGCTCCGAGAGAAGTTGGGCTGCAAGAGCTTCAAGTGGTACTTGGATAACATTTATCCCGATATCCACGTCCCACATGATCGGCCAGGCATGTTTGGAATGGTGAGAACAGAGTAAGACCTTATGAGCTTCTGCAAGCCAGGTTGTACCACTACCTAATTATATTTTGTTGCTGCCTTTTGCTAGCTTAAGAACCGGGGCAAGACCAACTACTGTTTTGACTACAACCCTACAGATGAGAATGCGGTGGTGGGCGAAAGGGTCATCCTCTATCTGTGTCATGGAATGGGCCAGAACCAAGTAAGTAATGCCAGTGATACAGAAAAAGCACTTGCATCTTCCTTTGCTGAACAGCTCACTAAACTTAAAACAGGTTTACAAGCTAGTTTGCTGATTAGCTACTTGGTTACAGCCCATTTTCAATCATGTGAAACGCAGCTTTCAGTTAGATTTTAATTGAATGTTGGTTTTTGAACACAGCACACTGTTTGCCCTTTTATATGTGAGCTTCGGCGATCATTTGTTTACTCTTGTTCAGTTAATCCTGGCACTCTTGAAGACTGCCATTAATCAATCTAATATGAATGTCCTCTGAGCTATTTGAAAAGAGAAAAATAATGTTTGGAGAAACACAATTCGGACATTTATTTCTCCAAACATTCCAAACAAACAAATATTGTCTCCATCATCTTCAGTTGGCACAATTCTAATGATTGAGAGGACACTCATGGCTTTAAAAACTGACCTTACAATCGTGTTTGTCAGTCTTTTGCCCTTTAACAGCTTCGCTATACATCTCTGATTTATTGACCTAATAAATGCCTTCTGGACCCTTTAGATCAGAGTGTGGAGCCCAGCTGATTTCTCTCAGGTCAAGGCTTGTAATAAAGGCTGATTAGACTTTTGTGAAAAGAGCCTTCGTACCATCTGTGTATAAAGAGTTTTGTTTTTAAAATCTTTTGGAAATGTGTGATATGTTTTTGATTTAGAGTGTTTTATTTTATTGCCTCCACTGTGCTCAGGTTCTTTGGCCATATTCTTAGTTTATTGGCCCATGTCTGGTTTTATTTAGTTTTGTAAAGCACTTTATAACATTAAGTGATCATTGTCACACCTTTGGGAGGCATTACTGACTAGTTAATCAGATTGCTTCATGACCACTGTAGTTTATGGGTTTGTCTGCTTGTAGAGCGACTCTTCTGGGTTCCTGACTATTATCTACAACTTTTGCATCCAGTGGCATTAATGTGTACCAGCACATTTGATGGCAATAATTACAAACTGCTTTTGATCTCCGTGGCAGATCCATTTATCTCCTTCCATGTCTTCTCCTTCTGTTCTTCACTACTCCCTGTTTTACATTTATCGTAGACAAAGGTAATCATGGATATAAATAGCATCTCAATTTCTTTCAGATTAAACATATAGTCATCCTATTTCCTCTCGGACTACAAGAATCGTGTTGTGTACTCTCACAGACCTGGGAATAATGAATATCATCTGTTATTCCAGGCTGCAAAATTATGTGATGGCTTTGTTGATACAAAGGGAATTCACATTTCCCAGTGCCTTTTCCTTTGTGATGTTCAGTAATCCAGGAAGCACTGTGAAATTTAGCATTGTTATTCCAGAACATCTCTGTGGACACAAACTGATGTTATTATTGTAGAAAGTGGGGATAGCTGCCTTATGAGACTACTGGGCATGCTACAGAGACGAAAGCCATCTCTCTGTCCTAAATCTAGATCCCTAACAGTGCCATTCTTCTGTTTTAACTGAATTTAGGCTAACTGAAATTGTTGCATTTTTTCTATTAGGAACACCATGCTAATGCTTGGTTGGTTTGCCTTTTGCTCTCAGAGCTGCTTTAATCTTTTGTGGCATAGATTCAACAAGGTGCTGGAAATATTCCTTGGAAATTTTGCTCCATATTGACATGACAGCATCAGACAGTTACTGCAGATTTGTCAACGGAACATGATGTGAATCTCACATTCCAGCACATCCTAAAATGTGCTCTATTAGATTGAGATCTGGTGACTGTGGAGGCCATTTGAGTACAGTGAACTCACTGTCATATTCAAGGAGCAAGCTAGAAATGATTTGAATTTCAACATGTCACATTATTCTGCTGAAAGCAGGCTTCAGGAAGATGGTCAGAAACGATACTCGTGTAGGCTGTGATGGTACCAAAAAAGTATTTCCTCCTATTAATATGCCACCAACAACAGCCTAAATTGTTTATTCAAGGCAGGGTGGATCCATGCTTTTATATTTCTGTTTCTCTGACGTTCTGTTATCTTATTTTGGTGAGCCTCTCCGAATTGTAGCCTTGGTCTCCTGTTCTTAGCTGACAGGAGCTGCACCCAGTGCGGTTTTCTGCTGCTGTAGCTCGCCTGCTTGTAGGTTTGAAGTGTTCTGCATTCAGAGATGCTCTTCTGTATTATAAATTTGTTGTAATGACTTACGGCTGCTTTCCTTCAGCTTCAAGCAGCCTCTGCCATCAACAATGCATTTTCATCCAGAGGTTTAGTGCTCACTGGATAATTTCTATTTTTTATATCATTCTCTGTAAACCCTAGAGAGCTGCGTGGGAAAATCCCAGTAGATCAGCAGTTTCTGAAATAATCAGACAAGCCTGTCTGACATCAACAACAATGCCCCATTCAAATTCGCTAAAATCGCGTTTCTGTCCCAATTTTGATGCTCGGATTGAACTTCAGCAGATCATATTGACTTCGATTAACCTATGTGTCTCGATTGGCTGTTTAGATATGTGCATTAACAAGTAGTTTAACAGGTGTATCTAATAAAGTGACCCAGTGACCCCAGTTGTTTTGTCTCATCCTACAGTTCTTTGAATACTCTGTGAATGGTGAGATCTCTTACAACACAAGGGAACCTGCTGGATGCGTCGCGGGTGACAGCATCAGTACCTACTTGACTGTCCAGCTGTGCAGAAAACGAGGGCAGCCTGTACCTTCAGACCAGAAATTTGTCTTCAAAAAGGTAAGATGTAAAGTATTTTAGTCTAGTGAGTTTCTGTGTTTATCCCTATCTAAGTCCACATTTTAACTAATAGTGTTAAAAAGGAAATTAATGTGGTGGCCCTGAAATTGCAGCATGTCATTAATTTTTGAGTTGCTGTCTGGAAGAGAAGATGTGGAATATAAAATCAACGTCTAAAATATAGTTCTTTGTTGAATTTTCTGTTACATTTTGTTGATTTCAGATTTCTACTTATTTTCCTTTTTGAACTGCCACTAATGTTTTAAAAGATGAGCACCCAACACTGAATTAAATGATTGACTCTATAGTTCCTCACTCTTACAGTGACCTTTTAACCAGCCACTTAGTTTCTCTTGTTCCATCAACTATTATCCCTTCAGAGAGAAAGTAGTACACACTGTACAACTCAAATTCTGAAAGTGCCCTAGGCTTTTAACAATACATGTCATTTTTTCTGTTTTTAAAACACACTGAATTCAAATTTATGTTTATGTTTGTTTAAGATGATAACTATATATCTATATCTATAGATAGATATATCTATA